CATACAGCTAAGGTTTGCATGGTAAGCTAACAGAAAATATGACCAAAAACCTAAATGGCGATTAAAAAAACACTTAAGAATGTCTCCCTCAACTCAAAAACAACAGCAGCAACAAAAACTCCCAAAACAAAACAAAACAAAAATAAGGAAGTAAAATGAATAACACCAGACCTTTTAGCCACCTAAATTAGGACAGAAGATTTCAATAACCTTTGATGCTACATCTTAGATTCAAGTATCAATGAACAACAGATGCTAAAACAGATAATAATTTGTCTTAAACTTAGGAAAATGGGAAGGAGTGTCAGATTAGCTATCGGTTCTTCCATTACACAAAAGTTGCCAGTGCTAAATAAAAACTGTAAATATGTAAAAAAAATAAACCTTGCCTTGAGATATGGAGAATTCATATAGAGAATTCTCTGAGTGCCTGTCTGTTACTTGGTCTAACAGGAGATAAAGCTAGAATTTTTAGACATTTCTAACATTTAATTAGTTTTAATGTTAATTTCTAAAACAGAAAACTTCTGGGGTTTAGAGGATATGTAGCTATTTAACTACTAGGCTTAAATACCAGTGGTTTCCTCTGAAAAAATCATTGAAAAGATATTGCAACTCCTGATATACAAAAGGGATGTCTGTAATGCCAACATCTATTTGGGGAGAAAAAGATACTGACAAAGCAAAACTCTGCAAGCAATTAAAACGATGTGGTACATGCTATATTTGGCCAGATTTTTAAATGTATTAGGCACCTAAAAATGCATATCTGAATGGGCACTTAACTCTAATTACTTCATTAGGCAATTTAGGCTCTTACACATGTGGGGAGCCTGCTCCAACATGCTGAAATCCAGTGTGTCGGAGCAGAATCGATTAATCAAGTCTGCTGGAGCATGGAAATTGACGTGCTCTGGCAGCCTCATGCATCACGTCTATAGATGTCACCGCACTGACAAAATGGCGGTGGGGCACTTTGAAATAAAACACATCCGATAAGTTTTAGTTTAAAGTGCCCTGCCACCACTTTTTCAGCATAGGGACACACGGCAACACTTATACACAACGCATGGGTGCTTTTAATTAGCGCATTTTGCTAATTAAAGTGCCCAGTGTTGTGTCCAAAAGCACGCGTGAAAATACTTGAGGAGCCTCCTAGATGCTTATCTGCGTTTTTGTTCATTGCTTAAATTTCCTTACAAACCTAGTCTATTTACCCACTGTTCTCAGGAAGTGCTTCTGCTAGGTCTCAGTATAACCTAGAGAAGCTTGTTTACTTATAGCCTCAACAAGAAGAATAATTGAGAGTGTTCACTGAAGAAAAATGACATGGGATTTCCTTAGGATCATCTCTGAAGTGAACTGCAGTTACAAACATCAAGAATACCATAGAGTCCAAAGAGTTAGTTTACAAATGGTACATGGATTTCTGGGCAGGGATGTGTCCTTTGTACTCCATATATCTCTTCTTTCCTCAGAAATCTACCAAATGATTGAACACTTTTATCCTGCTTATGTCCCAAAATAGCTGGTCACAGCTTTTTCTGGAGCTAATGTGTGGTTCCCTAAATGTCCACTGGTATTAGAAGAAGCTGTAACAAAACGATAAAGCCCCATTCCTTTATGCTTGAACCTGGCTCAAGTTGTACGTTTTTATTAGTTAAAGGGTGTAGGTTGTAGCCATGTTGGTCTAAGGACATAGGCAGACAAGGTTCTTTGGGTAAATCTGATATCTTTTATTAGACCAACTAAAATAGTTGGAAAAATCCTTCTTTGAAAGCATTTGGGTATGAACACCCTTCTTTAGGCAGAGGAAAGGTGTTTGTAACTGAAAGCTTGCAAAGAAGAACTTTTCCAACTATTTTAGTTGGTCTAATAAAAGATATCAGATTTACCCATAGAACTTTGTTCTCTTTGTTAGTTAAAGCAATTTGGGTCTATACTGATTCAATTCAGCACATTCATAATAATTTTAAAAAGAAAAAGGGGGGAAAAGATTTTAAAGAAGAAAACTGCGGACAAGAAGAAAAACTGAACAAAATGAAATTGGACTTTCCAGTTACACATACAGGTCACAGATGTGTCAAAAACAGCTAACAAAATAGACAAGACGAGACTTGCAAACATTAAAAACACGCAAAAAAAAAAATTATGTAATAAGGAAAAAAATAAGATGGTACAGCTGTAGGAAGGTTTGCTTTACTGGTGATTCTTCTCCAGTTGCAGCAAAAGACCAGAAACCATGACTGAAGTAGGCAGAGTTTCACTGCTCATCAGTGGTTTCCACCTTCCATACGATCTCAATCTTGGTGAGCACCTGAAGAGCTGGGAGAATAGGAGAAGAAAGGCAGGTATATTTTCACCCTAAGAAACATCTCTACATAATCTACTTCTTGGTCTATTCCACCATTTACCTCAGAACAACAAATTATTTGTGGCTTGACATCAATGCCAATGTGAGATAGATCTCCATTTATTTTGAGCTGTTCTTCCTCCCTCTCTTCTCGCAGGTCTTGTTTTGCCTCTTCTATAAAACTCTTCTCTTCTGGAGTTCCAGAAACTGCATTTCCCTCAACCAAACTCTCTTCTGCAACTTGTGCATGCTCAATTGATACTTTTTCTTTACTGCCCTCTATTACAGGTTCCACACATTGTACCACCTTTGCCGTACACCCTTCCACTTCTTTAGCATCTTCATTTTCTTCTTTTTCTTCCCTAATGACATCTTCTGTGACTCGATGGTTTGGCTGGTATTCTCCAACCTCTTCATCTTCACTCTCACTACTGCTGCTGCTCTCTGATGATGCTGATGAGGAGTCCTTTTTTGATAGCTGTTCCACCTTACAGGGCTCCCCACCATCAATGGCAACTTGTATTTTCCCTTCGTTGATTTCATTTATGACTACTGTCTCTTCTATCCCAACCTCTGCCCGTTTCTTCTCCTCCACTACGCTCAGAAACTCATGTGAACTCTGCACAAAAAAACATGGATGAGGAAAACAAAAGTACAGTATATAAATAAATCAAAATGATGGAAACGAAATTAACTGATGGCCGGTTCATGTCATGAAGAGGACTAAGATGACTGTGATGGTTAACTGAAAAAGGAAAGAAAGAAAGAAAGAATGAAGGTGGATCAGAAATGTCAGAGCCAAATGTACTATGGAAAAAAAAATCAGAAGAACCTTATCAGCATCTCTGGCTCCACTGCAAGGCCCTTCTGCTCTGGGACCAACTTTCTGTGAAACAAAAACCAACCAGAGGACACAAATCAATAAGTTTTCTAAACACCAAACATTTAACATTGCGTAGACAACACAGTGAGACAAAGGATCTGCATATCCATTGTTGACAGAGTAACGTCAGCATAAGCTCAGTTCAAATGCATACCGCCTCAGAACAGATGGGTATACTGATATCCACACAGAATCTTCAGTTACGCTTGTTTCCTACAACCAATCCATTGACTAAGGGGCCCATTAAAAAAATTATGTGCCCATTAAAAAAATTATCCCAATTGGTGAAGTTCAAAAACAAAATAATTACCAAAAGGATTTAAAAAAACCCAACTAATGCTGGTCCAGGATGCAACCTGGCAAAACAATCATTTTCCTACCTTAAGATTAATTAAATCAAGCAGTAAGAGTGAATGTAATTACTGCATAAATGGAAAACACATCACTTCATACACTATCCTACCATCTATCAGCTCTCACATACTAAATATGACATGTATTTTTAATTTTGTTGCAGGCAGTTTTTTCCCTTTAGTTTCTTTTTTTTTTTAGTTTTTATATTTTTAAGATTTGGAAGCTCCTTTCAATAATTGTATATACTGTAATAAAAAGAAGAAGTATTGGGTTACTGTTGTATCTAGGGCATGTTATAAAGAAGGTCCTAGTAGGCTCTCATTTGGATAGCTTAAATGGTAAGTTTCTATTAGTGTTTGCAGCATGACAAAATGATTTGTGATGGGTGTCTGCATTGGCATACTAGGCCAAAAAATGTACATTCATTTTATAGTACCATAACAGTTAAACAAAGCTTGCATTGAAGAAGCAATGTTCAAGTTCAGAGAAACTCATGAAAGCACAAATATATTTTAAATTCAGGGGTTGGCAACATTTTTGGGCAAAGGGCCAAAAAACACCAGCAACCTCGACTTGTAAAATGTTGGCGTGCCAGGGTAGATGGCGGGCGAGCCATGAGAGGTCCAATTCTTGTGGCAGCATAGCCCCAGCTCCTTCTCTGTCATTCTCCCTAAGGCACACATGCCAAGTAAAATGCCTGGGGGTTGTCTACCCCTGTTTTAATTGAAGTCAGCACACCATCTGTGACTTAATCCAGGCCTCTTTTCTTTTTTATTAATCTTTCTAAGTACAGTGTGTACAGGATCAGACCAACAATCCTGGTGAACCGAAGTAGGAATCAACAAACTGAGTGCTACAAATACAGGACTAGACCCTGAGTTCACTATGCCAAGTTCCCCTTTTGCAAAGATGGGTGACTGTTTTGACAAGAATCGGACTGTGATAAAATAATTTAACTTTTATATAATTGTTTAAACACTTTTGAGGTCCACATCTATTAATTTTAACTTAATATGCATTCATGCCAAATCTATTTCTTCCATATCTGTCTATAACTAGAGAGTCTTAGGAATACACAGTATCCAATATGGCATAAGGTTTAATACCTGGATACTGAAACTTCATACAGTAAATTTTATCTGATGTGCTGAAAAAACCCAGTTCCTCTACATGT